GGAAAGCCCTATGGGTGACAAGGGTCCTATCTGCACCCGATCATGGTGCCACCCTGAATCGGGGTTCATTTGACAGCAGCTGACAACCATCACCACAGAAGGATTCTATCTGGAGGCAGGATGTTCTGCCCTCGTACCGGTCCATCCCACTTCAGCCCAACTGCAAAATGCTGTGTATCTGCCCCACTCAACCCCAGTTCAGACCTTGCTTGCAACAACTCTGCTTCCTGGGAAATTCTGTGTCTGGGTTGTAGGCATCAGGCACACACAGCTTCCTCTCCATTCCCTGCAAACACCTCTTCCCCACAAGTCTAGGAACAATTAGAGCTGCCCGGTCCTGCCGTGGCCCCGCCTCACTCTGGCCCCGCCCCACTCTGGCCCCGCCTCACTCTGGCCCCGCCCCCGCCGTGGCCTCTCACTCCCCTCCTTGGAGCCGAGGGTCGCCGCTGTCCTTGCTGTCACTCCCCTCTCAGCACACTGCAGTCTGGCTTTCTGTCCCCTCCATCCCCTGAGGACGCTCTCACCCGGACAGGAAGTCGCAGGGAGAGCTTTCTGTCCTTATCGGACTTGCCCTTTTAGGCACCTTTGGGCACTGTTTACCCTCCCTTGGCAAATTCACTCACACCCAGTGTTCAGCTGCCAGGTGCCTATTCACTGATAACCCCGTCATCAGCTTTCTCTCCCGCTGGCCCAGCTGCCAACATGTAGCCTCGGTACACAGCAGGTGCTCCCTAAACACCCACTAAGTCAGACTGGACTCGGGGGCAGCGATGGGTCAGTGGTACAATCCTTGCCTTCCGTGTGGGAGACCTGAGTTTGATTCCCAGTCAATGGAACACCCGTCTGTCGGGAGGTGGGAGGGCTGTGTGTTGCCATGAGGCTGAACAGGTTTCAGAGGAGCGTCCAGATTAAGAGAGACAAAGGCCTGGTGCTCTGTGTTCGACCATCAGCCAATGAGAACACTATGAGTCACAGTGGTCCCATCCCCAACTGAGAGCATCCTTCTGGTGGGCACAGGCTTACCGGAGTCAGAGGCCCGCTCACCGCAGCTAAGAACAGAAAATGAAAGTGAAATATCACCAAGGTGGTGGTCCACCAAGCTGCTCACACAAATAACCAGCTTCTCTTTCTGTAAAAACAGTTTGGCCGTGTGTATCCAAAACCCTAAATCAGGGTGGTAAACGGAAAGTCAACAGAGGCCAGACAAGTAAGGCAAACGAATGAAGTAGGTGGGGCATAAGAAGAGAAGTAGGCAAGGCCAAAGACCAGGGTGCTGATGGGAAGGGCTGGTGAGCCAAGCCCTGTCCTGGGGGCGTGTCTCCCCTCTGCTCCAGCTGATGGGTTTCCAGGTGGGGGCAACCCCTATAATAGCTGCTTGTCTGGCTTTCTCAAAGGAACCGGGAAATCTAGATATTTATTTAAAACTTCCAAATTTTGAAATGGCAACCAATTCCAAACATTAGGGGAATCTCTTAATTCTGAGCCCGAGGAAACATTTCTGGGGGCCACATGGAGGCTAGCTGCAAGTCTGCAATGCTTGAAATAAAACACTTGGGCCATTGGATGTGTTCCTACTACCCTGGGGGTACAGTGGGGTTCCCCGCCCATCAAAAGAGGGTTGATTTGTTTTGAAATGTTAGCAAGGGAGCCAGGTTTGGAGCTAGTCGGCAGTTCGGGTCACTGGAGGGAAAGGCACCAGTTACAATGATGGAGATGAGCTGGTTCTAGGAATTTCACCCAAACGGGGCCTTTTGTCACAGAACAGAAAGGCCCCTCACAATGTGCTTGGGGAAACTGAGGTTACCATGAACCCCAATGTGACCAAGAAGTCTGGGGTCTGTTTAGTGGTGCAAATTGGTGGTGGTGGTACTTGCTGTTGAGTTAATTCCAACTTTTGGTGATGTCCCTGTGTACAGAGTAGAATGGAGCCATAGGGTTTTGAAGGCTGTGACCTTTTGGGAGCAGAATGCCACGCCTGTCTTTTGAGCTGCCTCTGGGTGGGTTCAAACCACCAACCTTCCAGCTACTTGTCCATGGTGTCTTTGTAGTGCAAGTTAGCCAGTCTCTCTCTTGAAAGTGCCTGCAAAGGTAAGGAAAAAGTTTTCTTGAAAAAAATATATTCTCACTGAACAATTGATGTCTCCAGCATGGTGTCCTCTGAAATTGGATACCTTGGGGGAGACATGGTGACTGTCACACTCTAGAGGAGTAGTATAGTGTCTTCCATAGAAGGAAATGGATGTCCCCATTGTCAACTCCAGGGGCAGGAAGTCCTGGTGGCACAGTGGTGAAGCACTTGGCTGCTAGCTGAAAGGCTGGCGGTTGGAACCCACCAGTCACTCTGCAGGAGAAAGATGTGGCGGTCTGTTTCCATAAAGATTTACAGCCTCGGAAACCCAGTGGGGGCAGTCTACCCTGTCCTATAAGGTCACTATGAATTGGAATCAAGTCAACAGCAGTGGTTTGTTTTTTGGTTAGGCCTCTCTAGAGAGCCAAAGCCAGTGAGAGACATCCTGGTACAAAATACACTCTTTGTATTGCAGTTTTCCCTCCCTCGCATTCCCATCACACTGGGTCTGGCTAAGGGGAGGCCGCACTGGGGCTTTGGTTTAGTGTGCTAGCTGTCGTGGTATATGAATTCCGCCTCGCCCTGTGCCGGCTCACCTGGTAAAGGTGCAAGGTTAGAGGTCATAGGATCTGAGCTTACCCTCCAGCACCCAGCACTGGAAGGGGTCAGGGTTGGATTCTCTGGATACAGACACTGAGATGGAGCCTGGGGTGCACGTTAATTGAGGATCACCACCTGTGACAGGGGGAGCTCTGGTAGCATAGTGGCTAAAGGCACTTGACTGCTAACCAGAAGTCTGGTGGTTCAAACCCACCAGCCACTCCTCGGAAGGAAGATGGGGCAATCTACTTCTGTAGTGATACTGCCTTGGAAACCCAAGGAGGGGTCGCTATGAGTCAAGTCCGACTAGATGGCACATAACAACAACAACAACAACAACAACCTGTGACAGGAAGGAGAATCAAAATCCTTTTGTGGTGCCTTTGGGTGTTCAAACCTCGAAAGGGAGTGGCAAGCCGCCCAGTGTCCTGGCAATCAGGCCAGTTACCGGCCAAGATGGTGCAGTGACCACTTTTCTTGCCCACTGGTCCCTACCCTCAAGATGCCAAAATTGCACAGACCACAGTCATGGCTCGTAGGCCAATGGGAGTCTCTTTCTCTCTCTCTCTCTCTTTTTTTAAATTATACTTTGGGTGAAAGTTTACAGAGGAAATTCGTTTTCCATTCAACAATTTCTAAACAACATTGGTTGCGAGCCCCTCATTGTAACAGTGCTCCTCCCCTTCCTCCTTGGCTTCCCCGTTCCCATGTCTTCCTCCCTGCCCCTTCCTGCCTCTGAGCTTTGTTTTGGAGCAGTACCATGGGAGTCTTGCTGGGGCCTTTGGGAGAACTGTTTCCCATTGGGTAGCAGCAGTCTGTGGAGTCCATACTCATGGCAACAGAAGTGAGGGGATGTCACTTCCAACATTGGCTTACAAAACGACTGTGGCTTACATCCTGGGCTCCCTCTCTTGCTTTCTCGCTTACTAGCTCCAAGGGACGTCAGCCACTATGTCATGCGTTGCCTGTGGTGAGGCCTGTGTGCCAAAGAACCAATGTTTCCGGCCCTGCCAACAACCACCTTGTGAGCTTAGGAGCAGAACCTCCTTAGCTGTGATGACCCAGCCTTGTCAACACCTCAACTGCATGCAGTCCAGTGAGAGACCCTGAACCACAGCTCCCTGGCGAGGCTGCATCCTGATTCCTGACCCACCAGACCTGTGACGTAATGAGTGTTTGTCACGCACCAGTATTCACCGCAGCACGATTCACAACATCCCACATTGACGCCTTTGCATTGTGGCTGGCGAAGCATATCTAATACACTCTGGACTGCCAGGGGAACAAACAAATCTGTCTCGGAAGAAGTACAGCTAGAATGCTCCTTAGAAGCCAGAAAGGCTAGACGTCATCTCACGTACTCTGGACATGTTGCCAAGGGGGACCAGTCAGTCCCTGGAGAAGGACATTGTGCTTGGTAAACTGAGGGTCAGCAAAAAGGAGAAAGACCTCCAATGAGATGGACAGTGGCTGCATCCAGGAGTTGAGACATAGCAACAATGGTTGAGGATTACACAGGACCAGACATCGTCTTGTGTTGCACACAGGGTTGGAATCAACTTAACCTAACGACAACAAAAGATGAAAACAACACAAGCGTCCACCAAACAAACACAACATGGTGCACCCATACAATGGATATTACTCAGTTATAAAGAGAGGACCGCCTGATACAGGCGACCTGGCAGATTGAAGACATTACACTGAGTGCAATTAGTCAGACAATGAAAGGGCAAATGCTGTACGATTCCACGTTCCGATTCCACGGAGAAAAAAGATTAGTAGCTTTAGTGCCCTGAGCAGCACTTTTTTTTGCTCCTTGAGTTTTGAACCAGGGACTCTGAGGTTTCGTTTTGCGCTGTTCCCCCTCCCCACTAGGAAGCCAGATCTGTCTGCCAGCTTTGTTCAGTTTGTAATGTCTTGTGATTTATTTTCTCATCCTACAACAATAGCCATTCTCCCACCAAATTTCGCATTCTTTCTTAAGACAGTCCCCCGCGAACGGTAAAATCTTCCGATCCGCTCCCCAAAAACTGCAACCTTCCCGACACCCTCATGTTGCATTTAAAATCTTCCTCTCCATACGACAAGCCAACTGAGCTTCTATCCTCCACTAGGGGAGGAGGAGAAGAAGAAAAAAGACCTCACAAGGCAGTGTCATTTCAAAAATGAGAGGAAATCGCTGGCACGGGAGGGGAAGCCGGAAACCCGGAATTCGCCTAGGCATTAGGGGATCGGCCGGCGCTCGGCGCGTCCCCTTTAAGGGGCGGGGCGGAGGCGGGGCCTGGCGGCCCGCGCTCCCAGGCTGCCTTGCGCGCGCGCCGGCAGTTCGGCCACGTCCCCGGCCACGTCGCGCCCGCTCTCGCCATCTTCGCCGCTTCCTCTCAGGGGCCGCCGCCTGAGCCGCCTGAACCGCCTGAGCCTCCAGCCCCGGGGCCGCCCGCGCCGACCGCCGCTGCCATGAACATCTTCCGGCTGACCGGGGACCTGTCCCACCTGGCGGCCATCGTCATCCTGCTGCTGAAGATCTGGAAGACGCGCTCCTGCGCGGGTGAGCGGCCGGGCGAGGCCCCGGGGAGGCTCGGGCGCGGGGCCGGGCCGCCAGAAGAAGCCGCCCCCCTCCGCCGGTCCCGGGCCCTACGCCGCCCCGTGGTCCGTGGCCTGCGCCGGTCCGACACACCCCCTCCGCCGGCTTCGTGAGCGGCGGGACCCGGGGAAGCCTTCTGGCCTGCGGGGTGGGAGTTCAGGCCGGGGTCAGGGTGTTGGGGCTCTGGGACCTACCAGCTCTGCACTTGAGCCGGCCCCGCGCTTGGGCCGTCGTGGCCGAGAGGGCGGCGACCGGACAACGCGAGGCCCCATTCTGTTCTGTCTGCAAAGTTTGGATTTGGGGGTGCAACAGGCGCGACCCCCTCGCCCTCGGCTTCCATGATGGGCTTCTCCGGGTGGGGTCTTGGCTCAGGAGGCCGAGGAGTGCAGGGAGCCCACCAATCAATGGGACGGGCGGGAGGAGGATGGGCAGGACCGCGGCCCGGCCGGCCTGACGTGGCAGCCAGGCCAGCCGGGAGGTGGGGCGGGCTGGAGCCGCCGGCGGAGGTCACCTGTTGCCACCCTACCCCTTGGGGGACGAGACCTTGGAGCAGAGCGTCAGGGCAGGCTTGTTCTTGGGATTCTGTGGGCTTCACCTGAGCTGGTGGATCCAGGATCACACCCGCCACGGGAGGGGACGTGGGCAGGTCTTTTAAGTTAGTTTCTGGACTTAGCACGTATTCTTGCTGCTTTGGCGAACAAACTGATTTGTCAAAGCCTTGCATACCTTCATCGAATAGCAGGTTCTCTTAAAAGTGGAGCCGAGGTCTCTTGTCTCGTGTAAAATTCTTCAGCCCACGTCACCAGGGAGCTGCAGGGGGACCCATTTCATGTCAGCCTGCCAGGAGGCTTACATGGAATCTTTCCCAAATAACAGCCACGGAGTTGTAAGTGCCATGAATCCTAAAGGCTTAAAGGGTTGTGGGTGTTTAAGTAGTTTCTTAAAGCCCAGTGCCTTTCTTCAAATGAATGTTTGAAGCCTTGGTCTCAGTGAAATAGGATTTGGTAAATTCAAGAACTTATTTTTTGCAGCAGGAGTAAGGGTTCTGAAGGCCCTTGGGTGGGAGAGATTCTGTTTACCGGATTTCCTTCTAAAAGTGCCCACATCTAAAGTAACACCAGGCCTTTACCTCTGCATCTGCAGGCAGGCTTCACCTGTCTCTCTGTAACATAGCTGAGATCCAGGAAGTAAGCAAAAAATCTAAAAAGACCTTTGAGCAGTCAAACTTGATGTGGCAAAGTCTACATCCTGAAACCCGGGTCTGACTTGGAGGCAATCCCTCAACTGATACCCAGTTGTAAGAGGCTGGGTTGGCTGATTTCCAGTGACAGCTAATTAATTGCAGTAGTTCTGATAGCTGACATGTGAGCGCTTACTGTGTACAGTAACATTACTGTACATGGGTCCCAGTCTATGGAGCAGGGAACTGAGTCTCGGGGAGGAGAGTCAATGAAGTGCAGGGGCACGCCTATTGACACATAGGCGATCGGTAACTTACTGTTGAGGGTCTCGAACAGGTCTCTGTCCACTTTGGTAGCAGAAGAGCCCTGGTGGTGCATTGGTTGAAAACACTTGGCTGCTAACCAAAAGGGCAGCAGTTTGAACCCACCAGCAGCTCAGGAGAATGATGTGGCAGTCTGTTTTCAAAAGATTGACAGCCTGGGAAACCCTGTGGGGCAGTTCTCCACTCTGAGTCAGAATGGACTTGATGGCAGTGAGCTTTGGTTTTTGTGGCACAAGTGGCCTCCGTCATTTTTGATGCCCAATCAGTAGTTAGGGTTGTTTTTTTTTCCTGTTACACTGAGAAGGTGTTGTTTTTAATCTTTAGTTTTGTCTCCAGCATCTTGATATTTTTCAGACTTCCTTCTCTGTCATTAAGTTTGAAGTCTGCCGCCTCCTGGATGTTATGGAAGTGAAGATGTTTGGACACTAGTGTGACTCCAGAACTAGAGTTTTTAAGGAAACTCTAAGTAGTAAGGGGAAACTGAGAGTTTGCTGTTTGGTCACTTTGCTTGTTTTTAATATTTCTTCATTTTTCACTTAGCAGAGTTTAGGAAAATATAAAGTCCTTAAGCTAAAATAAGAGAGGGAGAGACTGTAAACTTTCACCCAAATCACAATAAAAATTTAAAAAAAAAAGAAGAGAGATATACATAGGTGAGTTAAGTTTGTGTGTTTGGCAAGTATCTCTACAGCTAACCTTTGCTTACAGCACATTGTTGAACTTTTTTTTTTGTTATTAAAATTCCTTTCTTTCCCTGGGCTCTTTTTTTTTTTGGGTGAAGGTTTACAGAACAAATTCACTTTCCATACAGCAATTCACATACACTTTGTCTCATGACATTGACCACAGTTTACCACAATGCAACATCTCCCCTCCCACTTCCTCCCCATAGTTACCTCTTCCCAGTGTCCATCCCTCCATGAACTCCTGCCCCCTGAGCTGTCTCCCTGTGCATTAGTGATCCTTCTTTCTCCCATGATTGTTCTCTCCAAGGAGCGTATCTACCCGAGGTAAATGTTCAACTCATGTGCCTGTCTTTTGTTTGGCTGGAAGCCACACTTTCCCTGGCCTCTTAAAAATCAAACTCACCAGGATCATTTACTTAGAACTAAATGCTGAGTTGGACTAGCTCCTTTGTTTTTCCATACTAAATTATAAAAGTTGTCGAGAGACTTGAAAGAGTAAGAATTAGATATGAGCGTCTCAGATAGCTGCAATAGGATACGGGTCCATCCAGGTTTTATTTCTCTCTTTGAAAGGACTGGGATTGAGGTTTGTTTTAGGATTTTGACAATGGTTGTGAATGTACCTTCAGCTTCAGGACTACTGTGCCTTTTCCCCTTAGAGGTCGGGGTGAGGCCGGCTGGGGAGGAAGCTGGAGGTTCTGTTTTCCTGACCAGTTACAGGCAGGCTGCCTGACCGTGGGCCACAGGAAGTGGAATCTGCTTTCTTGTGCTTTGTCTGCCATTGGCATTCCAGAGGGCTACCACGTGAATAGGGGGTGTGAGTCTCTCCTACTCGCGAGCTATTGCAGCTACATCCACAGTGTGCTCCATGATTGGTTTATTCTTGCCCTTGACACTGCGTGGATTGCTTTGGGCACACTAGGCTGGTTTTTAGATGCAGGACTTTCTGCAGACTGATGGCTTGTGATGGGGCTGGATTTGTGAATTCAGTGACCAGTGGAGTTCGGAGAGCCATGGCCTCCAGCTGCCTCCCTAGTCTCTCCCCTTGCTCCTTCATCTTTGTTAGTATCATTGATAGCTACTGTCATGCAGGTTGCAAACTTGTCCTGCTGACATCATCTTTATGATGGGAGCTGATACTGCCCCTCCTTGTCACCTAATTGGATCATTATATTTTTGGAGTAAATGGAAGACGGCTTGTCTTTTATGGTCAGGATTGAGACAGCACTTCAGGAAGTTTTTGTATTTCCAGCTCCCACCATTGAAGCTGTCCCCTCTGACCTTTGGAGTGCTAGTTCATTGGGTAACACTTGCTCTCAAACATTTACTGATGACCCACTGTGTGCAAGGCCCTGAGAATACAGTTCAGAGCAGCAGTTTGCAGCTGTCAAAAATTTCTGCTCTGAGGAAAGTTGCCATTTAGTTGAAATGATAAAACATGAAATTGAAACTTGTAGGCCGACCAGCTGTAGAGTCAGTAAGCCCTTATGAGTGTGAAGTGGCAACAAGGGTCCCAAGGAAGGCGCCTCTATTTTTGCAGTTAAACAAGGAGGGCCCAGAACCTTTGTGAGGAAAACTAACCCTTTACTGGTGGACCTAGACAATGACCTGCATGTTCAGACCACGGGCCTGGGTGGAAATGCTGGACAGGGCCAGGCAGGCTGGTGAGGAGACAAAATGACACTTCTCCTCAAGTTAATTGATTAACTCAGAATATCCTCGTCCAGGTCTAACCCGGACTTTTTTCTGGAACTGGCAAACTGATGATAAATCCTGTCTGCCAATATAAATGCAAAAGTAGTAAGTTTTTTAAAGAAGAGTAACAAAGGAGGATATACCATCCACATGTTCAGTAGAAAGCTGGAACCGTGGAAGGTGTGGTGTGTTGGCACAGTAGCAGACAAATAGGTAAATGAAACATCTGGTGACATGGGACGTTGGACTGTGGTAAAAGTGACAATTTAAAGCGGTGAGGAGGGAATCCTTAAATGTTGTTGAATAAGTGGCTGTGTGGGGAAACATAAACTTAGAGCCCTACTTCACACCTTGAACAAAAAGGAATTCTAGTTAGATTAAAGATACCACGTACAAAGCAACAGAAGAATGTATTTTATATTGGGATGAGGAAGGCCTTCAGAGTCAGCACCCTGAAAGGAGAAAGATTCACAAACTGGGGTATAGAGATTAGCCTGCATGGCGCTACACAGCGTAAAGTCACTCGTTTAAGAAATGTTTATTGAAAACCTATGTCCTGGGCACACAGGCCATGTGACTAGGAGCTGGGGATGTCCCAGAAAACAAGCAGGACAAAAGCCTGGCTGTCATGGAGCTTCCTTGTTTAAGTCATCAAAGTTAAAAGACAATAGAGAGATGTCCTGCAATGTGTGTAAGTGACACGGGAAGTGCCTGTAACAAAGCATTCCTACGTGTAAGAAAAATGGGCAAAGCTGGCCTGTCACAGGATAACGAAGCCAATTAAGCATGAGGGAATGTGGTTATGTGTCCTTGCAAGCATCATAACATGTTATCCCTAAATATTGTTATTGACAGGTACTCAAATTGGTTCTGATTCATAGTGACCCTGTGTACAACAGAACAAAACACTGCCCAGTCCTGCACCATCCTTACAGTCATAGCTGTTTTGAGCCCATCACTGTAGCCACTGTCACTCCATCTCATGAGTATGGAATACTATGTAGCCATTAAGAAGAATGAGCTAGAGCTACAAGCAGTAGCAGGGGGAGATGAGCCTGTAATTCTAAAGTGTAAATAAATTGTAAGGAGACTGTGTGGCCGCATTTGAAGGGCATACACACAGATGTGTATAGAAAAGCCTGGACCGGTGACACTTGAAGTAGAGGCAGGAGGGATGTTAAAGAGGTCCTGTCACTTTTCATTCCATCTGTTTAAGCAGAGTTGGAATTTTTGATGAAATAATTAATGTGAACTTCTTTGAAAACAGGTCAGGATAGTGCCTGGTCAGTTATCCTTGGTGAATCACTTAACGTGGTAGCTCGTCTGCAGGGCTTCCCTTTATCTTTTTCCACAGTTCCACAAAGTTGGTATAAGTTGTGCCCATTTTACAGATGGGACAAGGGAGGTTTCAGAAGGCCAAGGATGTAATGGTCCAGGGTTACCTTGGGTGTTACATTGCCAATCTTGAACCAACACTCAATTCCAGAACCTTCCCCCTGCCCCAAGGTGTACTTTGTGATGCATGAGAGGAGGCTTGCTGGGAGGTACGTCTAAACTATGGGATAGCAGATTCCAGGGAAAGCAGTGTGAGAATACTCAGATCTTTTGAGACTGTGGGAGGACTGTCTCCAGGGGGAACCCTTGCTGAATGCCATCTTTCAGGTTATCCTGGTTATCCCATCCCCATCCCAGGTCTGACCTGAGGGCTTGGTGGCATCCCTGCTGTTACCAAATTTGCTACCATCAAGTCAGTTCTGATTCATGGCGACCCTATAAGACAGAGAACTGCCCCGTAGGATTTCCAAGGCTGTAAATGTTTATGGAAGCAGACTTTAAATCTTCCCCCCATGGAGTAGCTGGTGGGTTTGACCACTGACCTTTGGGTTAGCAGCTGAGTGCTTTCACCACTGCACCACCAGAGCTCCTGTCTCTGCTGTTACCAGGACAAAGATAACCTCTGGGCAGCTTTGCCATTTGGTTGAGGGATCTTTTGTAAGCTACTAGGAATATAAGAAATGTAGTTTTAACTATTTAAAATGGCGCACTGCATTGTATCATGGTGGGCTCTCTTGAACTTGACCCAGTGGGAAAAGATAGGAATGATGTTGCTAAGTTTAGTAATCAACTTCCATTTAGAAAGTTACACCGTTCGTGTGGATGTCTGGTGCGTTTGGTATCAGGACAGTATTTTTGGAAACGTGTATGGTGGGTGCGTGAGCACTTGTTACCTCGGCAGGCATTAGTCTCACACTGACCAGGAATCCCCTTGGAAGGAGAGGAGCTCTAGTGGCGCAGTGATTAAGCACTCGGCTGTTCACCTAAAGGTCAGTAGTTCAAATCCACCAGGGGCTCCGTGGGAGAAAGATGTGGCAGTCATCTCCCATAAAGATTACAGCCTGGGGAGCACATGGAGTGTTTTACTCAGTCCTGTCGGGTCACTGTGAATCAGAATCGACTTGATGGCAATGGGTGTGGTTGTTGGGCTTTTCTGAAAGGAGATCCCTGTCCCTCTTTGGGTCCTCAGTGGAGACTTCTGCCTCCCTGGGGAGACAGGACACGCTTTCTGTTCTAAAGGGATAAGCTGCTAGTTGCTGAGCAGGGCCCAGGCAGGAGAGCAGCGTGGAATGTGGAAGCTCCAATTTCCAGCAGCACAATGACAGTGCCTACCTGGAGGCCACAGTGGGCCATCCTCTCACCCTCCCCCCTGCTCTGCCCATGTTCTCAGGCACTCACCTGCCCTCTAGAGCAGAGCACACATCAGAGAGTCTCCCTCGAAAATCCTGCCTTTAGGAGTATTGTCCCAAATGCTAGAAAATGAATTCACCCCACAACCTGAAGATGAAATGAACGTCATTGTCTATTTGTGCATTCATTCAGCACTTAGTTTTCTAGCCCTGCTATGTGTCGGGTTTAGTGGTCAGTACAGGGAATAAATGTGGGGTGGAACGAGGCCCGCCCCTGGGGCTCAGCACAGCATCTTTATACAGACTGCAAAGTTGGTGGGAAGTCCAGTGAGAGGGAGGTGTCTTCCCAGATGACCTGCTCACAGAGGCGGGGATGGAGTTGGGTCTTGGGAGCGGTGAAAGCCATGAGAGTCCAGGAGTTTTAGTGCTGAAAATGAGGACAAAATGTCCAGCCTGCTTGCCTTCCAACATTTCATTAAAATAATCTCTGTGACAGAATTAGACCACATCTTTTTGAAGAGCCTGGGTGGCACAGTATGACTGTAACAAGTGCTTGGCTGCCAAACTGAAGGTCCAGTTTGAACCCACCGGCCACTCCGCGGGAGAAAGATGTGGCAGCCAGTCTGCATCTGTAAAGATGATAGCCTTGGAAACCCTGTGGGACAGTTCCACTCTGTCCTCTACCCGCGGGCAATGGGTTTAGCTTTTTGGTTTGGGAATAGCCTGGAACTGCAGTTATTCATACTTGGCAGGTAACAGCTTCTGTGCAGGGTTTCCGATTCAGCACCTGCAGAAATGATTGCTTAGAAGATACATTGAGAAGCACTGCTTTTCCTGGGCCCTGGGAGCATTGCTGCTGGCTCAGGTGCGGTGCCATTCTGTTGAACCTGTGCTTCAATGCATTACCTGCACAGACGCCACATGGTGTGAAGGTGCACAGGCAAGGAGGTGCCCGAGATTCTGCTGTATTCCCGTTCTGCATTTGCTCATCCTTAAGTTTCCTGAACAGAGTTGCCCAGTCGCCAGCATCTGAAACCACCCACAGTTCATGTTATTTGTCACATAAATATTTTGCCAGATGTGAATGCCTGAGGAGCCTTGTGCATGCTGTGAACTCAAATGACCAGGCTGAGCCTGGATGCGCCACACAGCACTCTGGTGATGGGGACACAATTTCCAGGTGTTAGAAGACAATTTTCAGACTTTCGAAGACTGACTGTAGCTGCAGGGTCCCGTTTTCTTGTTGCCATGTTGTTGGGTGTTGTCATTTGATTCCGGCTCATGACAGTCCCATGTGACAGAATAGAACTGCCCCATAGGGTTTCCTAAGTTGTAATCTTCATAGGGTCAGGTTCCTAGGTCTTTCTCCCATGGACCTGCTGGCGGGTTTGAGCAACTAACTTTTTGTTTAGCAATTGAGTGCTTAACTGATGGGCCACCAAGGTGCCTTCTTATTGGTGTAGCATCCAGGAATGTCTTAATATGAAGTTGGCTGTGATGAATCTAAGATACAGAATTTTAAGATGTAAAAAACATAATACATCCAAGTAAATGCTGCTCTTGGCAAGGCAGGAAGTTCCCGTGGGAAGAGGCCATGCTCTCCAGGGGCCATTAGAGCTCAGACTTCCCTAAGTCAGTGTTCTACTTGATCACTTCTTTCCTGAATCATATTCCAACTTCCAGCCTCAGGAGACTTATCACCAAGGAGGCACTGATTTAAAATGAGACGGAAGATGCTGAAGGTCATAGACAGGTTACAGTGCTGTCCAGTCAACAGCAGAATTGTTGCAATCAGTTGGTTTGAGAAACATGTTCATTTGAATGTGGTATGCCGTAGTCCATTGGAGGAGGCGTGATGAGGTCATTTTCCCATGGTCACCCATCATAGAGGGACAGCCGCATTGGGGGCGCCTCCAGAAGTGCACACTCAGGAATGTGGAAGGGAAGGAAAAACTGCAGTTGCTGCTCCTCCCTGAAAGTCACCCAGACATCCACCTGTGACCCCGTGTCATCACTGTCCATGTCTGCACGTCTCGCCAGTGTTATCTGCAGAAGTTGGAAAGCTCGCCAGGGCCTTTCTAATCCTTTCTCTTTACTTCTCCAGGTATTTCTGGGAAAAGCCAGCTTCTGTTTGCACTGGTCTTCACAACTCGTTACCTGGATCTTTTCACTTCATTTATTTCATTATATAACACATCTATGAAGGTACAGTATGGCGTCCTATAGGAGGCATTTTATGTGTGGTTCACAGACTCAAGGAAACTTGTCAGTTGCGTGCATAACTAAAATGGTTCAAGATAATGTCTGAATAAGCTGAGGTTTACTGACAGAGCCTTAACCCACCTGCACCTCTAACAAGTCAGTAGTTGTCACCAAGCATACTTTTGTTTCATCATAGCATCTGGTTGAAATACTTTGATCTGAGAGATTTTCTTTTTTCTAAGTTCCTTGAGCATGGTAAATCCATTAAAGCTCTTTATAACTCTATATGAAATGTTGTGTTGTTGTGTGCCATTGAGTTGAACCCGACTCATAGCGACCCCTCCTTGGGTTTCCGAGGCAGTATCACTACGGAAGTAGATTGCCCCATCTTCCTTCCGAGGAGTGGCTGGTGGGTTTGAACCGCCAGCCTTCTGGTTAGCAGTCAAGTGCCTTATCCACTATGCTACCAGACCTCCCCTATACGAAATAGGGGTAACTATTATACTTTAGGCCGTGGGAGCTTACAGGCTCCCAGGGGACCCAGCAGGTCAATCCATAACAGACATCGAAGCTGGGGCTGCAGTGTTACAGGGTCTTTTGCTGTATGAGGGACTATGTGTTGGCTTCTCCTTTTTCCCTCCTTTTCCACTAAAGTAGTCTTCCTACCTCTGCTGTGTGTGCCACGCTCAGGTCATGTCAGGACTGTAAGTCACCTAATGGTACAGTTTTTCTTAAAAAACCTTTGAACATGGCCTAAGCATCTGTCTCCATGACAGCTTCGGCGTCCCTCCTAACTCATTAAAATAAACTCATACTATTCAAATATGAAATCTCTGTGTACCACCTGACATCTAGAATACCACTGGTGGTGGTGCACACTGCACGCATGGGCAGCATTGGGCTGGCCACCAGTCCCCTCACACAGTCACTGAGTCACACACCCATGGAGCCAGGCACTTTCTCATGCAGAGGGCAGGCAGAGGGCAGGCAGGCTGAGCGGAGTGGACAGGTCCTCGAGACGCTGCAGGCATGAGGACACTTGGGATGGAGTCGTTGCTTCATGCACTCGTGCTACGTGTACATGGCGCAGCCGCGGGCCCAGCACTGCTCCTACCACATCTAAGGAAGCCGAAGCCTGTTGGTGGGGTATTTAAAACAGCTCTCCCAGCACTTTATACTCCGAAGGATTTTCATAAGCAAAGGTCTGAGTAGATAAAGCCATGTGGGAGGCCATGGTCATTCCTCAAAAGCAGATCTGAGTCACCAAGAAAGCAGTGGGAGCCTCCTAATCACACAGTGGGCAGCCCAGCTTGTTGTCCAGCTGGTAAAACCACAGGTGTGTGAGCAAGGTCCCCCCTCTGGATAGCTTCCCCCACCTCTGGATCGTCCCCACCCCAGATAGCCCGTCTTCAGAGGAAGCCCTTTTGCTGGCCTGGGTGTAGTTCTAAGGGTAGAGTCTCAGAGCAGCTGGAGCCGAGTTTTCTGTGCTTGGGCCTTTTTCCTGTAGATGCCGAGCTCTGGTAGGAGGAGAAGAGCGGTCGGTGTCACCTGCAGCCGCTGTAGCCACTAGGGCCCTAATCTAGCGGACCATCGCTGGGTGAACAAGTGACCGCCGGCCGTGGTGTTCTACTGGAGGGGGGCTTCGTGTGTATATACACGTATGTTCATTTGGTTTATACACATAGAGTGTATATTATTCACTTACATGGATCTTTGTACTTGTGAGTGTGTGCATGTGGGGTGGCCATTTACAAATCTGTGGGGAGAATCCCTCTAACAGAATAAGACTTCTGTGTTCCTTGCTTTTGGTTTGGTTGGTTTATTTGTAGTTCTCCCAGATATGGTAATCCAATACATTTAATACAGTGTTAAGTGTTCATTTATACCTACGGCTTTGTAGGGAGCTAGACTGTGAGGCCTCATGGACAGTTCAGTGTCTTTTTTTCAAGCATATGAGGGCATGATGATTGCTCCCGTTTTCCTGGGAAGTCATTTGCCCAAAGGTTTGAATGACTTTTGCAAGCCCTAAGGAGAAGCAGGACCAGGTGGTGCGGCGGCTACACATGGCTCTTGGTTGGCAGCACAACCCCGCTTCTCTGTTTGGGGGCTCAGCCTACCATCTCATGCTTTCTGAGAACAACAGATGTTTTCTTGGGGTCAGGCGAGTTCACGGCGTCAGACCTTTGGGATGAGAAAGCACACACAGTTAGCTGTCCGCCTGAGAGCAGCTCTGCTGATCGGTGCACAGACTCATGCTCTCCTGGGCGGCAACCTGGGTGTTCCGTGCCAGAGATACAGCTTAAGTAAACACCGTCATTGCACAGTTCACCTTGAATTACATTGCGTACCTGATTCAGAAAAGCCCCCGGTGGGCAGTATTTTCAGGTGGAAGGAAGTGCACTGGTTTTGAGTGCTGTTGAATTTTGCATTCTTTTTCCTTCGTATGCTGCTCTGTAACTTTTCAAGATGCAATTAAAATGACATTTCCCTGGCCGCTCCTGGTAAAGTTAGACTTAGATTTAGTATCTGACCCAATCTCACTGCTGGGTCCTGACCCAAGAGGAATGAAAACCTGTTCATACAAAAACCTGCACACAGATGTTCACACCAGCTTTAGCTATTGTCCCTCAAAATCAGACATCCCAAACATCCCTTAGCTGTTGACTGTGGCTAAGCGGGTGGTGGTCCGCATGAGGACCGCTGGTACAGCACTGAAGATAAGCTTGATTCTCATACATGCCTGGTACGAGGAGAAGCCAGACTCAAGGCTGCATCCTGCCTGCTTCCATTTCTATGGCCTTGTGTAGGGATGGATGGAGAATATCAGTGATTGCAGGGGCTAAGCTGGGGGAGGTTGGACTGCAGACTATCACGATTAGATGGCTTAGAAAAGGTCAGTTTTATTGGACTGAAGTTTTAAAGTACAAAGCAAACTAAGGCAGGGAAAAGCAGGCATTTCTCCTCTCTGAACCCAGGGGTGGCAGAGACGCGGGGGCGGCTGTGGCTGCGGCGGGATATTGCTGACCTGGTGTGTCTTCCTCCCCCCCAGCTTATCTACATTGCCTGCTCCTATGCCACCGTGTACCTGATCTACATGAAGTTTAAGGCCACCTACGACGGCAACCACGACACCTTCCGAGTAGAGTTTCTGGTGGTCCCTGTGGGAGGCCTCTCGTTTCTGGTCAATCACGACTTCTCTCCTCTTGAGGTGAGGGAAGAGGGTCTGGTGCCCTAGATCAGAGACCTGTTTGCAGGAAGTGGGGGTTTTGTTGTTTGGCAAACTTCCGGTGTAGCACACAGTTTGATATAAAGAAGCCCATGGACGAGAGCTGAGCACCTTGCCAGGCACATGGGTGTCCACTGACCGGTTTTTGCCTGACTCCTTTAGAATGTGAACTTGAAACTGTCTTTCATTGTCTTGATTTCTGTAGTGCTATACACAGAGCCCTGCTGCCTGTCTGAGAACGTGGTCTTTTCCCTCCTCTGACCCACCTTCTGTTTCCTCTCCGTGTCCGGGCCTCTCACACTGCCCGTCTCTCTGAGACTCCTGAGCAGCCCTGCTGTGCTCGTCGGCTTTGGGACAGTGGTTTGCCGGGGGTGCCAGCACTGGGCTGTGCGGCGGCCGCTCCGATGCCCCCTGTCCTCTCCCCCGTGGTGAGCTGCTGTGAACCTGGGGTTGATTACGTTATCACGAAGCTCCTGGTTGTCTGATAGGTGCTGGGAGTGCTGTGGCTTTTAAAAAATCCTCCAGGGACCACTTGCAAGCCCATCTCTGTCAGCACCTATATGTATATATAAAATAAAATACACGTGGGGCAGAGAGTTTGCATAGTTGTAACCCCAACTTTTAACCATCCCCCAAATCATCAAGAGTAAGAAAAACAATAAGAACATCCAAATAGTCTGGGAAAGAAAGACCCATTTGTGAGGAAACAGCAGTGAGCGTGGAAGGAACCCAGTTACCAGTGTTGCGGAGCCCAGCAGGAAGCAGGGTTGACACCGGAATTCCTAGTGGGACAGACTTGTCCAAGAGGAACACCCTATGTGCATATTCACAGAAAACTGTCCAGGGAAGAAGGAGACATTGGCAAGACAAGGTATTGAAAACTCAGCTCCCCTAGCTTGTCCCTAGCAGGGCCCGTCCTCCTCAGTGGTCCTGACACCTCTGTGATTGAATCAGTTGCTCAGCTGCCCAGACCCCTTAGCCGCCCTGCTGCTGGCAGGCTGCACGCAGGGCTGCCGGTGAAGCGGGAGTCTGCTGGGACCCGTGGTGAGTGCCGGCGCCTGACCCCTGCCTCCTGCCTTACAGATTTTGTGGACCTTCTCCATCTACCTGGAATCGGTGGCCATCCTCCCACAGCTCTTCATGATCAGCAAGACCGGGGAGGCGGAGACCATCACCACCCACTACCTGTTCTTCCTGGGCCTCTACCGTGCTTTGTACCTCGTCAACTGGATCTGGCGCTTCTACTTTGAGGGCTTCTTCGACCTCATTGCCGTGGTGGCCGGCGTGGTCCAGACCATCCTCTACTGCGACTTCTTCTACTTGTACATCACAAAAGGTACGGTGGTCTGCGGCCCACTTGATTTCACTCCTCCCCAAGGTCGTGTGCTCTTTGAGGGGCTTGCTTGCTCAGCTCCCACTGCAGCACCGTCTTCTGTTTGTAACTTCATTGTGATTTGGGTGAAAGTTTACAGAGCAAATTGGTATTCCAGTCAACACCCTACACGTTTTGTTTCGTGACATTGATCCACATTCCCTACAACGTAGCAGCACTCTTCTGCTTCCTCCCTGTGTGTCCTATTTCTCTGTGTTCCTCTGGCCCTTCTGTCCCTGCCTTCTGAGCTTTCTCCCTGGGCACATGCTGCCCTTTTGATCTCACAGGGTTGACTGTTCTAAGGAGTGTGCCCCTCCTTGGTGTTAATGTTCACCTTACAGGCCTGTTTGGTTGAGAGTTGAGCTAGGCCTAAAGGGGGTTATAGAAGATCCATAGTCTCTGGGGTTCCCCAGTCTCTATCAGATCAGTAAGCCTGGTGTTTTTTATAATGTTTTATTCCACATTTCTTTCCCACTGTGTCTGGGACCTCCCATTGTGATTCCTGTCAGAGGAGTTACCCCTGGCGGCTGGGCATCATCTAGTTCTGGTCCCGGGGTGGTAGAGCTGGTCCAACACGTTCTTAATCCAGCACTGTCTCTTCAGGAAGCAGAACTGGCTTCCAAAAAATATTTTAATGGTATCAGATAAAATTCTGATTTGGGTTTCCAGTGTTTGGAAGCTAAGTGCTGTTTTTTCTTCGGCTGTGGCTTTGTTTCTTCCATTGGTTGGTGGGTATTCAGGCCGTTACTGATTTGCTGCTATTAAAATGCAGTGCTTCCATCAATGTCATTGTAGATGTGTATTTCTGCATTTATATGAGTATAGGACATCTGGATTTCATAGCATCTAATGAAAGTTGTGGCCCTTGTTCACAGCAAAACATAGGTTTGTGCCTATGCATACAAATTAGGGAGCTCGGGAGCCCCTGAAACCCAGCCATACGTCCTAGGTTAAGGATCCCTGCTGTACAGTAAAATCCTTAGCATGGAAACACTGGGTGAAAGGGCACACCCATTTTCTTATCTTTGTTAATATTCAAAAAATTCGTAGACTTTCCTCCATAAAACAGTTACATTTTAATGTCTGTTGATTAGGGGTAGTCACGATATCTGTTATGACAAAAAAGCCACTAATGACTTTGGTGACACTTTCAGACGAAAGTGTGGTTTTTTTTCTTTACCTTTCACTCTGACAAATGTGTATTTCTTTAGTCCAAAGGCTGTGGCATTAAGAAAATACCAGTGTATGTGACCATGACATTTTCCATCTGTGCGCCTTGTGACCTCAGCACCCTCTCCTTACCCAGGGCCCTCGGTAGGCAGCCATATTCTTAGAAAGCACAGCTGTCAGTGGCCGGATGCCGGGCCTTGTGCTAGTCTCGGCCTGTACTGACTCCCCCTGAGATCCAACTCCACAAATCGTGCTTCCTGTTTGCATACCCTGGAGGCTTACTCCCTCATTGTCCTTTACTATGGTGTCTTGCGTAAGAGCAGGAAGAAGGAAGTAATTTTACAACTGCAGGATTGTCAGCATCCATAACCTCACCTCGCGTTTCTCTCCCTCTTTAAAACTCTAGTGCTCAAGGGTAAGAAGCTGAGTTTGCCAGCGTAAGGGCCAAAGACCGTCACCAGCATCTGTCCTTCAGGGTGCTCGGACAGAATTCCTACCACAGCAAAGGCTAAGATGCTCCATATGGAAAATCAGAAACTTCACTCTTTATAGCAGATCATCATCGGTGGCTCTGTGAGAACGCAGAAGAAAAGAACCGGAGGGTTTCTGTTTAATGCATCTGGCCTTATCTTTTTTTATTACTATGTACAAAGATTTTTTTACACAAAGAAACTTAATGCTGTATTAATACATTCGATGCGTAGCTTCCATTGGGGTAGTTCCAAAGTGAGGGGTAAGTGCAAACCTTTTTTTTTTTTTTTTTTTTAATTTTAAAAAATTGTTTGAAATTGTTGACTCTTTGTGTCTGTAATGAAATTGTATTCTTTGACATCTGGTGGATTATATATTCTTCCATCTATCAAACTTGCATTCCACTATATTTATTTTTTGCCAAAAGCTGAGTTGTTTGTTTGAAATCAGAGACTCTGTTCGATGTGGCATGTGTTTACGTGGTCACTGCCTGGCGTGGACGGCCTTCCTTGGCTATCACAACACTACGGTTGAGATTGGTAAGGACGCCTGGAAGTCTGACCTTTTTCATTACCCAAATCTCAAATTCTGAATGTATATGGAATCTCCTTTAAGGGCGGCCGAAGGTGCCTGCCCTTCCCCTGCTGTGAAGGCCCTTTGAGATGGTCCGGGGGATGCTGAGGGAACTCAGTGGGCAGGGGCTCTGGGCTGTTGGCCATCCGAGTGGGGGACAGAGGGCCATCGGTGGTTATTGTAGATCTAGGACCCACCCCGAGAAGTCTGACACAAGTACCTAGCTCTTGCATTAATTTTCTAAGGGAATTCTAAGAGAATACTGTACCTGTGGCCCTGCTCAGATTCAAAGTTTTTCCTGTCACTTTTGAGGAGTAAAAATGATACACGATTTTTTTTTCCAAAAAAAGACCAGAAGTACCATTACCATTCCTTAGTCTTACTTTTCATAGTATTTTGTTTTTTACCAAGCTCTTGCGTGGTTTTCCTTGTGTGCCCATCTGAAAGGAACATTTTCATGAATGGAGAATCAGTTGTCTTTGTTGATGAATTACGCTTTTGGCACAGCCCCTGTTGGGATGACTTTCCTGTTTTTCCTTTGGCAACAAAAGCCCCAGAGGTGCGCACCTTGGAAGTCCACTTCACCTGTCAAGCCGTGCGTGCTCTGTGGAAATACTAGGTTTTTTTTCTCTGTCCTGATTTTGCCTTTGTATTGATTTGCTACACTATTTTTGATTTGTGCAAAAGTATCTGACTTTGTTTTTATGTGATGCACCATAATGTTAAAAGTGTTGAATACTAACAGTGCTTACAAGAAGGATGTAGTAGTCTTGCTTCCTGCATTAAAATATTTTGAGGAGGAGAGAGCTGGGTGGGTTTGCTTTTATCTGGTGTGTCTTTCCATCTTTCTTTCTGAATGGGCAGTGTCCTACTGCACAATCCAACCTCCCATCCTTATCTCCCTCATTTGGCTCTTCCCTCGTTTGCCTCGTGGTTGTTTTTCTACGTCATTGTAGCTCCCTTTCCCACATCCTAGTCTTGGCTTAGTTTCTGTCTGCCTTCGTCCTCCTCAGAAGATGCTGGGAGCTGACAGCCTGCTGCCCAGCCTGAAGGCGGGGTGGGGTGGAGGCTCAGGCTGTTTCTATGCATGTACGTCACTCCCAAGCTGGGGTATATTTGGGCATAATGCACAGAGCGGGGTCTGAGCCCACTGCCCCTGCTTCCACCTGATGCATGAGGTACCACTGCCCTTCTCAGTCACTCTGCCCAAGGAAAAGTGACATTGGCTTAGATGTCACCACCATTTTTATGGTCAACCAGGATGGCATTTCATTCAGGCATCTGAGTTGGGGTGTGGGGGCTGGAGCTGCGTCCTTGCCCACGTTGGAAACAACGGCCTTGTGTGGCATGGTTTATGAAGCACTGTTTTCAAAGTTACTTTTACTTCCACAATAAAGGTTATCAGGTAACTAAGACTTTTTATTGAGGTGTTCTTTGTTTGTGTGATTTTTTTTTTTTTTTTAATGAAAGTGTGAGAGAAATAAAGCAGCCTCAGAAGGTTCAGAACCCTTCTCAGCACAAGAATTCAAACCGGTTGCCTTTGGTGAACTCCAGCCACGGTGACCCCATGTATGGCACAGTAGAACTGTGCTCTATAAAGTACATCGCTGGGCCTTCCTAGGTGCCCTGGGGTGGACTTGAACCGCCAGTCTTTAGGTTAGCACTTGAGCCTGGGTTTGCATCACCCAGGGGCTCCTGTGAGAGAAGTGTTGGGTGCCCTGGAGTCAGTTCTGATTCATCGTGACCCCATGGGACAGTACAACTACCCCATAGTGTTAATACATTGTGGGAGCAGATCTCCCATGATGTAGTGCCCCATGGGGCAGCCAGGTGGATTCAAACTGCCAACCTTTCAGTTAGCAGCTGAGTGCTTACTGTTTGTATCACCAGGGCTCCTTATGAGAGGACTAATCCAAACCCATTGCCACTGAGTCAGTTTCAACTTGGAGCAGCCCTACGGGAGAGTAGAACTGCCCCAGAGGGTTTCCAAGGCTGTCCGTAAGCAAACTGCCTCCTCTTTCTCCTGTGGAGCAGCTGGTTGGTTTGAATTGCTGACCTTTTGGTTAGCTGCCAGATGCCTCAACCACACCGCCACCAGAGTGCTAATCTTTATAATAATAATAAACCAAACCCACTGCTATCGAGTCGATTCCAACTCGGTGACCCCATTGGGTTTCTGAGGCGGTAAATCTTTCATCTTCCTTGCTTATAGTGGCTGGGGGCTTGAACTGCCAACCTGGTTAGCAGCCAAATGCCTTATCCACTACCATCAGAGCTCCTTAATCTTTATAATTTAAAAAAAAAAAAAAAAACTTATTGGCATTGAGCCATTTCCAACTCATAGCCCATTGTGTTTCTGAGGCAGTAAATCTTTACGGAAATAGATTGCCCCATCATCCTTCCACAGAGCGAATGGTGGGTTTGAACCACCAGCCTTCTAGTTAGCAGTCAGATGCCTTAGGCACTGCCCCACTAGAGCTCCTTTAGTCTTTATAATAACCAAAAAACTACCAAACTCACTGCTGGCAAGTCATTTCCGACTCATAGCGACCCCTTGGGTTTCCGAGGCAGTATCTCTATGGAAGTAGATTGCCCAACCTTCTGAGGAGTGGCTGCTGGGTTTGAACCGCCAGCCTTCTGGTTGGCAGTCAAATGCCTTAGGCACTGTGGAAAATTGAGTCCCAAGTACCTTCCAAAAACCACCCACCTGCGGTCTGAGGAGCCCTGATTGGCTTAGAGGCTCAGTGTGATTTTTCTCTGCATGCTTTCGCCCCCTAGTGGCCCAATGTGGGGCTTCGCCTAGTGTGGCTACTAGAATGCCATCCTCTGTTCTAGTTTTAGTTTGGGCACACTAAAAGTGAGACTTCCAGCAAACACCTCACTACACCTGACTGCCTGTCACCAAAACAGTGACAGACTTTATTCCCTTCCTTTGCTTTACTTTTCTTCATAGCACTTAGTTACTCCCTGACATACCACGAGCTTGGTGACTACCTGTTCCCCTTCTCCCCCTCTGAGTTTCATAAGGGTGGGGTCCTTGTCCATCTTGTTCCCTGCTACGCACATACCAAGGAACCCTGGTAGTCCAACGGTTCAGTGCTTAGCTGCTATCCAAACGGTTGGTGGTTCCAGCCTGCCCAGCCACGCCGTGGGAGAAAGATCGGGCACTCTGCTCCTGTAAAGATGACAGCCTAGAAAAACTACGGGGCAGTTCTCTGTCACACGGGATCACCATGAATCCAAATGGACTGCACCTAACAACACGCATGTACTAAGAGTCCCTGGGTGGCACAAACTTAAGTGTTGGCTGCGAACTGAAAGGTTGGCAGTTCAAACCCACTCAGAGGCAGTCTGTAAGACCTGCCAACCTGCTTCCCAAAGTCACAGCCTTGAAAGTCTGTGCAGCATTCTGTTTGGTCACGTGGGGTCACCATGAGACAGAAACAACTGGACAGCAACAGGTGCTGGTAGGCCCATAACAGGGCACATTATAGGCACTCACTGAATAAACAAGTGTCAGAGTTTCCCAAGTCTGAAGCTCCTTCAAGGCTCTTCAAGAGGGTAAGATTTCAGGGTAGAGATGAGCTTAACTTAGCTAAGGTGGTCAAGGAAGGTCTCTGAAGCACTGACCCTTGAGCTGAGGCCAGAATGAAGTGAGAATGACTACCTACAGGCAGTGGATTCCTCGCAGAGGTAAAACGTAAAACAGTGGTTGTGGACCTGACTTCTAGTGACCTCTCCTTGGATTTCTGAGGTGGTTTCATTATCTCGATGGAAGTAGCTTGCCCAACCTTCCTTCCCACCAGAGCTCCTCCTCGCAGAGGTAACTGGATGTAAAAGGCAGGAGAGACCGATCTTGCTGCGTTCCAGGGGAAAAAGGAGGTGTCAGGTAGTGTGGTGACAAGGGACAGTGCTGTAACCCACGCAGAGTGTTGTAATCTTGCGGAGGGACAGGTCGACAGCACTCCCAAACCTTTGGTGTGTGGTTTCCAGGGAAAGGCCCCTGCAAGAGGTCGTATTCTATTTTATCTGCAAACGTTAGCTTGCACGATCCTAAACAGACATTCAAGCAGGTCACCTCGGCTGCTGTGTGGGGCATGCATTGTGGGGAGGCCCGGGCAGGAGGGAGACCCTCCAGGCACAAGAGGAAGAGGGCTCAGACCTGTAATAGGGGAAAAGAGACCCCAGATTCAAACAGGTTCAGTAGAGACACTTACTAAGCCTTGTACAAAACAAAGACAATCAGCCTGGATGAGGGAAACCATCAACATGAGAAAGCTGACTGGAGTCGGCTGAGTCATGGCCATGTGGGTAATTAGAAATGATTGTCTTAAAAAAGGGGAATTATCACAAAGTTACGATTGGTGGTAGACAGAACCTGTTGCAGGTGGGACTACAGAAGCAAGGAATAGACCATGATTGGGATTTGAAGCTAGTAAAGGGTTACAGGTTGGTTCTGGGCCTTGACTACCTGGCTCGGTGGTGGTCCAGATAGTCTGTGACGCCTGACCATGCAGCCTCGTAGTCACAAGGTGGCTGCCAAACAATTCCAAGACTCCTCGGAAGGAAGGTTGGGCAATCCTACTTCCGTAGTGATACTACCACGGAAACCCAAGGAGGGGTTGCTATGAGTCGGGGCCGACTCGATGGCACATAACAACATAACAACAACCTTAATTTAAGTAGGAAAAGGACAGTCGCAGGCAGGTTCCGAGGGACTATAATCTATTTTCAATCACTCTTCCTGGAGGCAGACCGCCCCTCCCGAGGTTTGTCCCGGAACTTGTCTGTGTAATGCCGGTTTATGATCAGAAAGAACCCAAATGGCAGTCAAGCCTCAAAACGGAGTTAGGGCTCCCACACAACCCCAAGTACTTTCAGAATTTAACCTCTAAATCAGACCTGAGCAGGATTGAGGTAGACTCCCCGCACTGACGATGCCCTTCTGCTCCGGAGAGCACAGGGTCCCTCAGGCCATTCATTGCCCGGCCCCCTACTCCCGCCGCAGCTGTCGGCTGGAGTTTCACTCCCTGAGCTAGAGCGCGGGTGCACTGGAAAGGTGCTCCAGGTACAGTTAGGGGTGGAGAGGGCGACAACCTCATCACCGGCTCCGGAGTCTCACAGACCCGAGCCTGGAGAGTCCTTATCTATGAAATGGAAATAATAATCGAACAGACGTTCCAACTCAAGCCTGCAAGTCCCTCCGAGTCAGCGAATCTGCGCAGGCGCACAGTGCTCCAGTAGCCGGCTGGCTGCACAAGGCGCAGCGCGCGCGAGCCCTCCTCTGCCTGGGACTGAGCATGCGCCGGTCCCTGCCTCAAAGTGAGCATGTGCTGGACCCCGCCTTCGGATGCGCATGAGCGGAGCCGAGGTTAGGTTGACGGCGCACCGGAGCGCACCCGGCATTAGGGCGTGAAGTGCGCGGCGGGCGGACCTGAGGCCGGGCGGCAGGGCCTTCGCCATGCCTGGGTTGGTGCTCTTTGGCCGACGCTGGGCCATCGCCAGTGACGACCTGGTCTTCCCAGGGTTCTTCGAGCTGTTCCTGCGAGTGCTGTGGTAAGGGTAGGGGACTGGCTCTGGGCGAAGAGGGCGTGAGGGGCGGGGAGGGTGCCAGCCTGCCGAGCGCTGACCGACTGCCCGGCGCGGTGCCCGGCGCTGGCCGTGCGTGCTCTTAATCCGGTCCGCAGGATCACACACAGTGGGTTCTGTGACCACCCCCATTGCACAGATGGGAAACTGAGGCCCCGAGACGGTAGGCCGTGCCCGGGCGTCCGCGCTCCTGGGGTGTGTGGCCCCGAGACCTGGCCCTGGAGGCAGCGAGGACTCCATGGCCAACCAGAGGATGGCCTCAGGATCTCTCTTCAAGTCGGAGCCGAGGTTTGGGTTAGGAACCAAGGCAGCCACTCAGGCAGTCACTTTGCATAGGACAGCATCTTGACTCTGTAAAATGAAAGCTGGGACCCCCCCCCCCCGAGAATATGGCCCTTAGTTACCGTGGAAGCCTGGAACTGAACTCACCCCCGTCGTTCAACTTTCAGCCCAACAATAGAAAGGCTCTGGTAGCATAGTGGCTAAGACACTTGCCTGCTAACCAGACGGCTGGCGGTTCAAACCCACCAGCCACTCCGGAAGGAAGGTTGGGCAATCCTACTTCCGTAGTGATACTGCCTCGGAAACCCAAGGAGGGGTCGCTGTGAGTCGGGGCCGACTCGACGGCACATAACAACAACAACAAAGTGAACAGGAACAGCAGGGAGGAACCCACTCCTCAGAACCGCCGACCAGACTAGATCCAAAGGGCAGCGTTTGCCCAGGGATAAAGCCCAGAAGGCAGGAAGGGATAGGAGAGAAGGACGAAGGGAAACCAGGAACCACAGCGAGGAAGTGGGGCGAGTGCTGTTACATTGTGGGGATTGCATTGATTGTACCAAACAATGTGTATTAAGTGTTGAATAGATAACTGATTTGCTCCATAAATCTTCACCCAAATCACAATTAAAAAAAAGTGATAATAATAGTAAAAAAGCTTTGAAATACAACCCATTCAGTGGAGCTCATTCCAGAAGCAGACAGGCTTGGAATATACTTTGCCTTTGAATGTGTGGATTCCCTTTCAGAGTAGCAGCACCCTTTGGGATTATGGGAAGTAGCATTTGGAGCATAAAGTCTGTTCCCATAGAATCTGGGAAAGAAAGAATATATACATAAAAATTTTATTTATTTTGTTGTTGAGAATATACAGTGACTGAATATTTTGATTAGAGAGCCTGTGGAAGAATCCTGGTCAAGAGGGGGGAAATGCAGAACAGAATTTCAAATTCTCATGGACTCCAGATTTTCTAGAGCCGTGGAGGCTGGATGAACCCCTGGAACTTTAAACCTTGAACAAAAAGTATCCTCTCAAGTGTTCTTTAAACAAAGCAATAGTGCAGTGTGATGGAGCATTTTTGTATGGCCTTTCTTGCCATGGTCTTATAACTCCCACCTAATGACTAGGTGAGACTGTGGAAATGAGGTGCTTGTGGCCCACCAAGGGGCTTGGATAACACATTAATAATGCAGATAAGGTGTGTGGCACCCTTGTGGGATTGGGACCATGCTAATACGGTGTATAGAACTCTTATGAGGATTGGTCAGTTTCACCATCCCACTAGGCTTAAGATGAATCGTCCTAGAGGTGGACGGGGGAGACCACACTACCACCAAGAAGAGGGCCTAGGCGTGGGGTGTGTCCTTTGGACCCAGGGTCCCTTTGTTGAGAATCCTAGACCCAAGAGACAGAGCTGGTAACCCTGGAGATGGCACAAGACAGTGAGAAGCTGTGGGGGAGAAGTAACAGTAGCAGAGGCAGTAGGACCAGAAGGCCTGCGTGAGACGCACAGCGTGCTTCCTGGTCCACAGAGCAAGGGCGGTGGGCATGCTAAGCCGTGGAGCTGGAGAACTGAGGGCCTCTGGGCAGGAGGCTTGCTGGTGGAGTAAGCTGCCTCTGGGCCCTTATTGGCAAGCTACAGAGCTTTGGAACACTTGCTTGAGCAGGCTGGCCCAAGGGGCTCACAGGCCAAGGGCCAGGGAGAAGCCTGCCTGTAGGCACAGCCAAGAAGTTGCTCTGAGCCAGGAACTACCCTGAGTCGTTTCTGAAATGGTCTGTATGGGATCAGATTAACAGCACCAACTGGAAAGGTCAGGTCGGAAGCTTAGGGGGCAGCGAATGTATGTTGATGGGGGAGGAGCAGTGTGGAAAAGGAAAGTGAAAATTGTTGTGCAACTCAAAGGCCGTAATCAGTGCCACTGAATTGTGTACGTAGAATTTGTTGAATTGGTGTATGTTCTGCTGTGTATAATTTCAGCAACAAAGTAGATTCTTAGGGGACAGGAGATAAAAACAGGAAATGTTGTGAACTGCTTCTGAGGGGCTTTACAGTTCTCAGGGCCAGGCCCTCCTGAGGCTACTTCCCCATTGTTATTTCTGGACACAGAGTCATGATGTTATCACAAAACTGACAAAAGCATGAGAGTGATGTAGGCCCATTCCACTGCTGGGCCAAGAGGGGCTGTGCCTGCTGCCTGAACACCTAGTGACCGATGAGCTGTTTGTCACTCTCATAGTTGGGTGCTGGCTCCCATTGTTCTGCACTGAATGACAAAATGTATTCAGGTCCCCGGGGTTTGTCCTTTCCATTTGATTGGTGTTCACCAGGCAACATCTATGCATAGCTTGCTTCCTGTCCTCTGAGGTATCTATGACACAGAAGTAAAAATTCTCTCCTTAATGTTTTAGCATGCGTATTGTTTGGTGGCTTACCACTTGAGTATTTCTGAGTCATGATGGGCTAGTGTCATATTTGCTTGCATTGGGTTTTAAATGCCTCTCGTGTGTTAAAGCAGGCATGAGAGGTTATTATGTAAGCACAGGAACTCTGGTGGCTTAGTGCCCAAGGCTTGTGACTGCTAACCAGACAGGCTGGCGGTTCAAACCCACCAGCCACTCCTCCGAGGGAAGGTTGGGCAATCTACTTCTGTAGTGATACTGCCTTGGAAACCCAAGGAGGGGTCGCTATGAGTCGGAGTCCACTCAATGGCAGTGAGTTGTTTTGTTTTGTTATGGAATGAATGGTAAGACTTAAAAAAGCAGACATACTCTTTAGTTGGCTTAGTAGGTGTTTGTTTTTCTTTTTTTGAATGATGTTTGATTGTGTGCCTGGTGAATGTTTACACAGCAAATTGGGCTCCCATTTGACAATTTCTGTGCAAATTGTAGAGAGGCTTGTGGATTTGAACTGCCAACCTTCTGGTTAGCAGTCAGATGCCTTAAGACACTGTGCCACCAGAGCTCCTTGTTAGTTTTTTTTTAATGCAAATTCTTCAGCAATATTAATTACGTGTTTTTTCCACAATGTGTCAGCATTTTCTCTAATTCCCTTTTGGTTGTTGCATTTCCATCCCTGCCCCTGCCCCCATCTTTGCTTTAGAGTACTTGTTAACCTTTGGGTCTCCCACAGATGGTTTTTTGATAGAACCCCATGCTTACAGGTGATATCCTATATTTTGTGTGCCAGTCTATCATTTCGCTAAAAGGTTACCTCAAGCGAGTTTTGGTTCAGGGTTTATGGAATATCCATCCCAGGGTCGTAGTCTCAGAGCATCCTTAAGTCTCCACTGTCCAGGAAGTTTGGACTTTTTAGGAATTTGCGTTCTGGTCCATGTTTTCCTCCCGTTCTTTCAGGATAGTGAATGTGTTCTAGGTGTAAATTATATTCCTGAGTGAGCCGTGCCTTGGTTTGGGAATACTGCCTGCTTTCATATCGTGCGTTGTGTCTGCCAAAGCAGCTCTGAGGACCCCGTGTCTGACACCCCCTCTCTTTCTTGGCAGGTGGGTCGGCATTCTGGCTTTGTACCTCAAGCACAGGGAGAAGCTGGACTGTGCCGGTGGAGCCCTGCTCAGCAGCTACTTGGTGGTCCTCATCGTGCTCCTGGCGGTTATTATATGTGCCGTGTCCGCCATCGTGTGTGTCAGCATGAAAGGTGGAGAGAAGTTTTTTCTGTTTTACACCCAGGCTTCTTCATTGTAACTGCTTTATTTTGATCTAATTTGCATGCCACACCACCTGCCCATTTAGAGTGTATAATTTAGAAGTTTTCAGTATAGTCACCAAGTGGTGCAACCATCACCACGATCGATTTTAGAACATTTTCATCACCCCAGAAAGAAATCCCGTACCTATGAGCAGTCAGTCACTCCCCATTTCCCCCTAATTCCCTCAGCCCTCGGGAACCACTAGCATAATTTCTTCTCTATATCAAACCAAAAAGCCAAACGTGTTGCCGTCAAGTTGATCCCGACTCATAGCGACCCCTCTTTGGGTTTCTGAGGTGGTATCTTTATGGAAGTTGATTGCCCAGTCTTCTTTCTGAGGAGTAGCTGGTAGGTTTGAACTGCCAGCCTTCTGGTTAGCAGTCAAGTGCCTTAGGCACTACGCCACCAGAGCTCCTTCTTCCTGTGAAACCAAAAACAAACCCACTGCCATTGAGTTGATTCTGACTCATAGCGACCCACTTTGGGTTTCCAAGTTGGTAAATCTTCATGGAAGTAGATTACCCTGATGCCCTTCCTTGGAGCAGCTGATAGGTTTGAACCACGGAATCATATAAATGGAATAATGCTGTAAGTTTTCAGGGTTTATCCAAATTGTAGTATCTATCAGGCCTTCATTCCTTATTTTGACTGAATTAATACTCCATTTTATGGAGAGACCACAATTTATTTATCCATTCATCAGCTGGTGGACATTTGGGTTGTTTCTACTTTTTGCTATTGTGAATAACACTGCTATGAATGTTTGTGTGTGAGTTTTTATGTGGACATGTTTTCATTTCTCTTACTTACCTATCTAGGAGTGGAATTGCTGGGTCATGTGGTAATTTTGTGTTTAATATTTTGAGAAACTGCCAGACTGCTTCCAAAGCAGTTGCAGCATTTTACATTCCCACCAGGAGAATATAAGGCTTCTAGTTTCTCCACATCCTCTCAAACACTTGCTCCCTAACTTTTTGGTCACAGCCGTTCTCTTGGGTGTGAGTTCTAGTGATGTAGTGGTTAGACATTCGACTTCTAATCAAAACTGTCAGAGGTTTGAACCCAGCAGCAACCCTGCAGGAGGAAGGTGAGGAGGTCTCTTTCCATAAAGGTTTACAGCCTTGGAAACCCTGTGGGGGTTGCTCTGGCTTGGCAGTGGCTCAGGCTCTGGTTTGGGGCTTGAGTTGGTCATCGCATTGTGGTTTGGTCATCACATTGTGGTTGGGTGTGCGTTTCCCAGATGGTGAGTCATAGTGAGCGCCTTTGCCGTGGGTCCGAGATCCCTCTACAGAGGAATGGCTGTTCCGGCCCTTTGCCCAATTTTGAATCGGGTTATCTGCCGTTTTGTTATTAAGTTGTAAGAGTCACAGCTGTTCTTACCGATTGTATTTTTTTTTCCTGTGTGTGTGTGACAGTTTTCGGCATAGTCACTTACCTGAGAATATCTCTGAAGACATTGGAAGTCGGCCTGCCTCTCAACCACACCCAAGTGTTGCATTTCAGTTTTAGTGTTTTGTCACTGCCTGAATGGGGATGGGGGGGCGTGCCCATCAGATTATAAATGATGACGATAAAACTGGAAGGAGGTTGCAGCTAGGCAGGGTGGTGGAATCGAGATCTTGAGCTTTTAGAATGATGGCCTGAAACTTCTAGTCATACTTCACAGGGAGAAATATTGAGGGGAGAGAAGTCCTTGGTAAAGTGTTCTTGTGAGAAAAAGAGCTTAGGGTTTTGGGGGTGACCGAGAAATGGCATGTGCCTTAGCAATGTCTGGGAAGCAGGGCTCTACTGTGTTTGAGAACCGCTCCTAAGCATGAGGCCATGGGGCTGGATCGAAGCAGGCCTGGTTCTGTGGTCTGTGTCGGCTGCATCTGCGTTGCCATTCATGCCGGATGCTGAGGGGGCGGCAGGTTCTTGATGTGCACATGGAGCTTGGGGCCCCTGGTGTTTTCCAGTGACGACAGGATTTCTGAAAGGTAAGGTTTGAATCCAGTGTCGTTTCAGATCAAGTGTTAGATAATTTACTTACCTTTTTGTTCACCTCACCTTCTGTTTAAAATAACCCACACCCATTGCTGTGGAGTCGATTTCAACTCTTAATGACCCTATAGGACAGAGTAGAAGTGCCCCAAAGAGTTTCCAAGGCTGTCAGTCTTTATGGAAGCAGACTGCTACATCTTTCTCCCACAGAGCAGTGGGTGGGTTTGAACTGCCAACCTTTCGGTTAGCAGCTGAACACTTAACCACTGTGCCGCCAGGGCTTCTCACCTTCTGCTTAGACCACTGTGGTGATAGATTCAAACTGAGAAGTAGGTGTCAACTCCTGGTTTCTTCAGATGTTTTTGGTGGTATTGGAGCTGCAAAAAAGGCACGGAGGCGGCGTCTTCAGACCTCCTGTAACTTCACAAGAAGATGGCATCACCATCAACAGCCCGAGGCTGGTTCCTACGAGGCCAGACATGCCGCCCCCCTCCAGCCTTTTTACCAACTCTGACACAACCCTCTCTCCCACAGCACTCACTGCTTCTCTGGTGGGTTCAATAATTCGTTGCAGTGGTCACATAGAACTCACAGACAATGCTCATGATTATGGGGGTTTATTAGGGAAAGAGGAGCGCTGATGGCGTAGTGCCTGAGGCGTTTGACTGCTAACCACAAGGCTAGCTGTTCGAACCCACTAGCCACTCCTCAGAAGGAAGACTGGGCAGTCTGCTTCCATAGACATACTGCCTCAGAAATGCACGAGGGGTGGGTATGAGTGGGGACCGACTCGACGGTAGTGAGTTAGAGTTGTTAGTGTTAGGGGAGTAGCAGGTTACATCAGGTTCAGGAACGTGCTCAGGATGCAGTTCTCCCATCAGGACCATTTCCCCTCTGCTGTGCCCTCAGGCACGCCTCTCTGGCCTTGGCCTCTTGCCCGGCCTCTGCCCTGCCCTGGCAAGTGTTACAGAGCTCTTTTAGCTCTGCTGATAGGTGCAACTAGGTGCTCCCCACTCCGTTAGCAGGGCTCCTGCCCAAGGGCACCCAGCTTTCTCACTTTGTGGGCTGGAAAGCCCACCGCTCTGTCTCGCGGCTCTTGGTTCCCCTGCGCTATCTCTCAGCTGGGCCTCTCTTTGCCACAGAGGTCCAGCATAGGGATCTCGGATCCAAGGACATGCTCCTCTCCAATTCCAGTTCTTCCCTCTTGATGACAGTGAGATCCCCCCTCTGCCCGTAGCAGGGCTCATTCTAAGCCTGGCAGGCAAAACTAACCAATGTGCACCTTAGAGTTCCACACAGCTTCTTTGCATGGTCCCACCCAGTAATCTGGTGGGGATTACAAGGGCCCTGGCTAGAAAAGCCATCCAGGTCATTGACTGCACCACAGGAGTACAGTCAGAGCTGCGTGACAGGCGCTGTGTTCACTCAGCTCCTCCTCCTCTGCACTGGCATGATGCCTGCACTGTCACATGCATGTCACACCCGCGTGCGCAGAGCTCAGAAAACATTTGCAGATCCAGGGATGTTGCAGGTTGCCTCTGCAGCTGCCCATCAGTTCAGGACGCCCCTCCAGTCTGCACACGCCAAGAGTGTGCCAGAAACGTGGGTCCTGTGTGCAGTTCCAGGCATGATCCCAGTGTTCAGAAGTGCACGTGGGACCTGGCTGGGGCCAATGAAACTCAGGGAGAGTTTGCTGGGAGGTTCTAGAAAAGTCTTCCCTGGCTCCTCTGGGGAACATCCAGAAGCAGCGTATGGTCTTCCCTCTGGATGCTGCTGCCGTAGCTCCGGTCAGAGCCCAGGCTGAGTGCAGGGAGGGCAGAGCTAGCTGTCAGAATCCCAGGAGACCGAGTTGGGGCTCCTGGACAGGGCGGCCTGATACCTAGCCTGCCCCTGAACTTCCTGTCCCTCCAGCTGGTCCATGTCCTGACTGTTTCTGAACCAGTCTGAGTTGAATTTTCTGTTGGCTGTGCCAGAGATAGCCCAACTAACTTGAAAGCAATGTTTTATAAAACATGTTGGCTTGGTTGTTGGTTTGTTGCCGATGATTACGAAGCCTGTGCCTTATGAAAAGCATTGTGAATACCATGAGGAGAGTTTTCTTTAAAAAAAGGCAAATGGGGAAAATGTTTGTGATACACAGGAGACAAAAACTCACTTGCCTTAATATGTAAGGGCTTTTACAGATAAACCGCAGTCCCTGAGTGCCACATGGTTAAGCACTCAGGGGACAGCCCTGGCGATCTGCTCCTGCAAAGATGGCAGCCATCAAAGCCCTGTGGAGTGGTTCTGCTCTGTCACAGGGTCGCTGTGAGTCAAAAATCAACTCGATGGCACTCGATACCAACAACTAGCCACGAGGTTGGCAGTTTGCACACACCCATAGGCTCCTTGGAAGATGGGCGATCTGCTCTGAAAGGTCACAGCCTTGGAAACTCTGCAGACAGTTTTGCTTTGCACACTTGCGGTCACCAACAGTCAGAATGGACACACTGACAGCCAACCGCAACAAGAAAAAGACCAGTAGTCAATAGCAACATGGGCAGACAACATGAACAGGCAACTCACGGAAAGAAACCGTAGACAGCTTTTTGATGTGGAAACAGTATTCAGAGATGGTCCCAATAAGAAAAGCTCACTTGTACACTGAGTTGGTGAGGAAGGGCATCTCATTTTTTTGGTGGGAGTATAAATTGGTTTAATCTCTTTGGAGGCCAGTTTTTGTGTGTGTATGTGTGTATGTGTGTGTACATGCATGCATATGCATATCCGTTTTTGTATATATTGGCATATGAACAAAGAAGTACTGGTAGGATTAGTCACTGCAGTATTGTTTATGAAAACAAAGGCTGGGAGAGACTTAGGTGCCTGTCAGTAGGCCGCAGGTTGGGTGTGACGGTCTCCTGTGTCACTGTTGCAAAGGAGGAGAAAATGCTTGATAACAGGTAAGGGATGATGCCGAGGTGCTGGGGGTGGGACATTGTATCTGGTTTGTGAGTTTTTCTTAAGGCTGTAGGTGTTTTGTTGTATACTCCAGAGTATCCTGCGCAGGCGGTAAGAATAACTGGTTTACTTCAGGGAAGGGAAGAGGAGGACGAGGACCCCCAGGGGCAGGGGGCAGGCTTCCTGTTTCCTTTGCACCTACCCTTGGAACATTTTACCGTTTATGTGTGTTTCCTTCTCAACATCAGTGTGTGTATGGTTTCTCTGTTAACAGTTAAGTGTAGATCTCTTTTTAAGTAACTGCTGGCCACAGTGGCAGATCTGTTCTTGATTCATAGGAAACTTACCCCTTTTGTTTCATAAAACCCGGAAACCAAGCCTACTGCCATTGAGTCAATCCCAACTCACAGCACCCCTGGAGGACAGAGAAGAAGCTAGGGTTTCCAAGGCTGTCAGTCTTTACGGAAGTGGACTGTCATATCTTTCTCCCACGGAGCAGCTGGTGGTTTTGAACAACTGACCTTTTTGTTAGTGGTGGCATACGTTAACCACCATGCCACCGGAGCTGCTTTTTGTTTCATAAGTCATCTCGATAATTAACCTGTCATTTGAGCTAAAAGGCTTTGTTTAGCTTTTGGCTGGTACAGAAAACAAACACCGCAGTCATAGGACTCCTTGGAACATATAGAATCCCGTGGCCTCTGTCCCCAAGGTTGATGTTTGGGTACATGCCTCTCCTCTTCTGCTTGGGCAGAAATAGTACTCAGTAGGGAGAACAATTGCTGTTGCCTTGGTGACAGCCATGAGTGATTGACAGCATCCCAGATGATAGGCGGCTGTTCCTGCCGTGCGGGTGGGTCCACGGGAGAAGGCTCACCCTGGAGATTTCTGTAAGAGCACCCTCGGGTGCTCATGCTGACCTGCCACCTCTGGGCCTGATTGTGGGCCGACCCCGCGCACCTTGTCTGCATCTGGGCCTGACCGTGGGCCGGCCCCGCGCACCTTGTCTGCATCTGGGCCTGACCGTGCATCAGGGCTCCCAAATGCAGCAAAACCAGTGCTCATGATAACAGCAGCAGGAGGCAAAGGAAAGTATCAATTTGGAAGCGAAACAAAAGTTTACTGAACTACAGGGAGGTGGAAAATCAGTGAATGCTATTGCTGGGGATTTACGTGTGTTGAACTCGACAATCGTGTGATGATCCTCAGAAACAGAAAAAAAACCTTCAGCTTGTCAAGGACTGGCTCCACTGAAAGTTACAAGGCTAACTGAAATGCGAGCGGGACCAAACACAGAAGCGAATCTCCCTCGGCACATTGAGCACTGCTAAGGCACGAAGCTTGTTCGAGATGCTTAAGAAGCAGGACCAGACTATGATAAGGTGTTGGTACAACATCCAAATCACATAACGTCCTGTTTCGCGGAATGTATTGTGGGCGTTAAGTGGCTTACTGGTCTTTAATATCTTACTCCTTTTCTGGACCGATAAGCACAATAATTCCATTGCTTGCTTCTCTGTGTGTTCTCTTCACTAGTGTGTTACTGATGGTTGCCATGTCAAGTCCAAGTGTAACTGACAGTATTGCAGCATTTCCTTACTGAGAATCCAAGCCCTTCAGGAAGGAGAGTGTACGCCCTTGTTAATTCCTGTTTCTCCGGGACCTATTGGCTATTGTTACGCAGTCCAAAAACTGCAAACCAAACCCATTGAATCAAGTAGATTCCAACTCGTAGCAACCCTATGGGACAGGGTAGAACTGCCCCAAAGGGATTCCAAGGTTGTGAGTCTTTACGGAAGCAGACTGCCAAATCTTTCTCCAGCGGAGCAGCTGGTGGGTTGGAACTGCCGAACTTTGGGTTAGCAGCCAAGAGTTCCAACCATTGCGCCAGCAGGGCTCTTGATTGTTATGTAATAGCAGGCTCTGAATGGGGTGATTTTATACATCCCTGCACCCACTGTCCGCCCTTCAGAGAGAGAAGCTGTTAGCATGACTGTAAAATGTCATCTCTGTGTCAAGATGAGGCCTACTAGTGTTTTGTTTTCCTTCAGCTCCCATAACAAAGCAACAACACACACTGTGTGACTTAAAGCAATGGAAATTTATTGCCTCACACTTCTGGAGGCTGGGAGTCTGGATTCAGGGACCATTCTGTTCTGTCCCTGTTGTCCTAGCATAATTACGAATAGTACCCCCTTAGACTTTCAGAAGTATCCCAGTTTGGACAGATTATATGGTCACCCTGGACCCAGAAGTGTGTTTAATCCCTAGGAAGTTGAAAAGTGAACCCAGGGCCTATGGCCACACTCCCTGTCTCCCACTTTCTCACAGAGGTATGAGTCACAATGGGTATGTATATTGTATGGACATGTGCTCTGATGGATAAAGTCAGGGCAGGTGTGCGTACCATACAGACGTGTGCTCTGATGGATGAAGTCAGGGTGGGTGTGCGTACCGTACAGACTTGTGCTGTGATGGATGAAGTCAGGGTGGGTGTGCGTACCGTACGGATGTGTGCTCTGATCTTCTGTGGAGAAGAACCTCACCCCATCTGAGAAGGCATGTGCCCGTCTGAACGTCTTCTGTGTTTCAGGAACCATCTGTAACCCTGGGCCGCGGAAATCTATGGCGAAGCTGCTGTACCTCCGCCTAGCGCTCTTTTTGCCAGAGGTGGTCTGGGCATCTCTGGGGGCCGCGTGGGTGGCAGACGGAGTGGCGTGTGACAGGACTGTTGTGAACGGCATCATCGCAGCCGTCATCGTCAGGTGAGGCCTTCCGTCTTCTGGTTCCCATCTCGTCACAGATGTGTTTGAGATGCTGGTAAACGAACCTCCCTGAAGACCTCAACCCTGTTCAGGTCTCCTCAGACACTTAGAAATCGGATGCTTTGCGTCGGTCAGGAGTGTTTATAGAGAGGCTTCTTTGTACACAAGAAGCAGTCTGTCTTTCCTCTTTATTGGCTCTCACTGGTTTGTACTCCTGTCCTTCTCTTAGAAGAAGTAAGCCATTCGCAGGAAACAGGGACCAAAACTCAAGGGGGGTGAGAACCAGTGCAGTGTGTCAGGAGTTGTGACAGGGACTCGGGCTCCAGAACAGGAGGGTGTTAGTGTCTTACAGGCTGAGAGTCTTGATGATTTAGGAGTGTAGCGTGTTACATAAGGATACTCAGTTCCACTCCTGTCTTCCCGGGGTCACAGGGCCAGTCAGCACAGTCACTTCCGGGAGGCTCACCTCAGTGGCACATACGCTCGCAGGCCCTCATTGCGTCCACATCATGAGCCGTTGGTAAACAGACAGTGGACGAAAGGACTGTCAGCGAGCGTGTCCTGTCATACAGCAGGATTCTCTTGGCTTCACCAAGAATGGGCCTGGGTCACGCAGTTGTCACGGGGCCACAGAGAACAAATGATACCCACTCTGGTGCCCCCACGACTCCTTTTTTTTTTTTTTTTTTTTTTTTGATTTGGGCCATAGGGTTGCTGTGAGTTGCACTTTCCATACAGCAGTTCACATATGCTTTGTCTCATGTCATTGACCCACGGCTCCTTTTGTCTTTGGTGGGTCTTTGCTTTTAGGGCTCTGCTTTTTGTGGGGCCTGGGTTTATGAGGAACTTTGGGGAAGAGAAGAGTTGCTTGCTGTAGCCATGTTCCAGGACATCCACGCCCTCCTCGTACATGAGGAAACTGAAGCCGGAGGAGGGGCCTGGCTGCGGCCCCTGCGGGTCTGGCCCACAGCCACCAAGAGGAGGGGCCTGGCTGCGGCCCCTGTGGGTCGGGCCCACAGCCACCAAGCCTCGTCCTCTGTTTTTCAGTTGGATCGTCATTGCCGCCACTGTGGTTACCATCATCATCGTCTTTGACCCACTGGGGGGCAGAACGGCTCCATATTCCCCTGCTGGTCCCGGGCACCTGGACACTCGTGAGTCCAGCCAGCTGCTCCATGGCCTCAGGACCGCGGCCACCAGCGTGTGGGAGACCAGGATCAAGCTGTTGTGCTGCTGCGTCGGGGACGACGACCACACTCGAGTTGCCTTTTCGAGTACGGCAGAGCTTTTCTCAGCCTACTTTTCAGTAAGCCAGAGGGTTGGGCTTGGTCTCTTTCTCTGTGGAAGTAAATGCCTCTTGTGTTAAGATGAGTGCGCCGTCCTTGGACCAGCGTCTTTTCGCACAAAGCCACCTGGAAGGACTTGGGGTCTTGGGGCGTGGGCGCATTGGGAGGTGCTCCTCCAAGCATTGGTACTCGGGGAGCAACAGAGTGTTTTCAGTCCCCACCTTTCTAGTTCGTTCTGTCAAGACTTCAGTTTTGCTCTTGAGGAACGAGTAATGGAACCTGTGTATTTTGGGAGCCAGCTGCCTTTCCCTGTCTCCTCGATCCAGCTGGTATTGTTTTGTACTCGCCATAGTCTACTTGGTGACTGTGTCGTGTTGGAAATGATATTGTTTTGTGGTATTGTTTTGTACTCGCCATAGTCTACTTGGTGACTGTGTCGTGTTGGAAATGACGGGAGACTGGATTTTTAAGGGACAGTTTGACTAGATTGTTGCACTGCAGAAGTGTGTCTGTGCCAGGGCTCCGGGGTTCATGTTTTTCCCTCATCCCTAGTGTGTGGTTCTGCCTTTTCCCATCACGCACTCTACCCCAGTGCTGTCGGGTTCAGAATGAAGACAGGGAGGCATGTGGAGGAGTTCTTGTGACATCTGTGCACCTGTGCTCCTGCCTTGTCTTTGCCCCCATCTCTGGTGCAGCCTGGCTTCGCACCACCCGGGGCTGGCCGGGAGCCCAACACTGGGCCATAGCCACAGCCCTATGTAGGGATCGGAGTGATAAATAAACTTCAAGGAGTGCTTGGACTTCCCGTCAGATGCTCACAAGGAGGCTGGTACCCGTTCCTTTCTAGTGGGTTAGAGGTGCGTGGGGTAGCTGAGGGTTTTTGACATCCCCTGTCTGTCCTGGGGTAAAAGGCAGTGGGGCAGCCCTAGAGGACTAACCCTGGTTTTGCCAAGCTGACGTCTTTTGAGGCTCGCTGGGCCCTGGGAGCGGAAGTCCAGCCTTGTGAATCTCTGCCCTGGACTCTGTCAACAAAATCTGCAGAATCTGGAGAAGCAAGAGTATAAATTTGGGCTAAAATTGGCCATTAATACAAAGATGGGGAATTTACCACTGATTTCCTGACTTTACCAAACATTTAAGGTAGGTTAAAAATACTAAGTCACTTAGAGTGAAATTTTTAAATACAGATCACAAATTCCGTTCTCCAGTGGACTTGGATAAGGGAGAGAGTAAAACCCAGTACTGTGTTCACGGGTGGAGGGTGGCCTGCAAGGAAAATGTTTACACGTACCTTTGTTCATGTATGTGCGTGTGTGTGTATGTGCGTGTGTGTGTATGTGCGCGTGTGTGAGACGGGGTTTTCAGCAGCTCTGGCAGGTCCTGCTGAGTGTTCTGATGTGCCCTCGTGGTTTTCCATCCAGGACACCGATCTGGTGCCCAGCGACATCGCGGCGGGCCTCACCCTCCTCCATCAGCAGCAGGACAGCATCAGTAACAGGCAGGAGCCTGAGGAGGTGGTCAGCCATGGCCTGGGGCCCTCCCAGGTGAGCTCCTGTCTCTGTGGGGCTGTGGGCATCTGTACCAGTAACCGACTTACAGAAGGTCACAACAGCAGCAGCAGTTTCAGAAGCACTGGGCTGGCATCTGATGGGTGGCTTTGATTGGTTGTAGCGGGTCACCTGTAAGGGGAGGCATCTCCCCCTTGCCTGGGGTTCAGGTGGTAGAGTAGGTCCTACCTCGTTCACCAACCATGGTGTTTACACAGCATTCAGTTTGAGAAACTTGGAGGGTGGAAGCTGTGTGTCGGGAACATTGCTCCTGGGAGGGACCGTGTCTCCCAGAGTGGTTGGCTTGCTTCTCTGGGCCTGGGATGCAGAAATAGTTCAGCTTTGTTCATGGTCATTTTCCTGCTACAGACATTTATGCTTTTGAAAGAAAACTGTACATAGACTAGGTGTATTTTTCTGACCCTTATTGAAAACTCCAGTTGTTTTTTTTTATTTTAAATTTTTATTGTGATTTGGGTGCAAGTTTGCAAAGCAAATTCATTTTCCGTCCAGCAGTTCATACACATTCTGCTTCATGACATTGACTGCAATTCCCACAGTGTAACAGCTCTCTTCCCACTTCCTCCCTGCAGTAGTGTGCCCTTCCCTCCTGCCCCATGTGCTGTCTCCCTGTATAAACACTGCCCTTTTGTTGTCCCATGATTGACCAAGGAGTGTATCTGCCTAACGTAAATGTTCAGCTCATATGCCTATCTTGTTTGGTTGGAAGCCACAGGGGCAGTTAGGGGCCAGTCTTGGGTTCCACCAGGCTCCATCAGACCGGCAAACCTGGTTCCACCAGGCTCCATCAGACCGGCAAACCTGGTCCTTTTTTTTTTAATGATTTTGAGTTTTGTTCCACATTGTTCCCCCACTCTATCCAGGATCTCCTACACAGATCCCTCTCTGGGTGGTTGACATTGTTAGGTGGGCACCATCTAGTTCTTCAGGTCTCAGAGCTATGTAGGCTGCAGATTGCATGGTGTACCAATCCCTTGGACTAATTGTTTCCATACGTTTTTGGTTTTTTTCATTCTTCTTTAATCTGGACAAGGAGAGACCCATCGTTGTATCTAGATGGCCGCTTGCAAGTTTTTAAGACCTCGATCACCTACCAGAGTAGGATGTGGGACAATGTTTTGTGTAGTATGTTATGCCAATTGAGCTTGATGTCTCCTGTGACCATGGTCCCGAGCCTTCAGGTCCAAATACTCGCTCCCTCAGGGTAGCTGGCTGTGGCCGAGAAACCACCACAGCCTTGTCCCCTTGTCGGCTCTACTATACACCCAGACGTTCCTACAACACGTACAAATAAATGCCCAATTCTTGCTGTGGAAACCTTGTGGTTACGTGC